GCTGGATTTGGCATCTTGCCATTACGGTAAAAAGGCCATGGAGTGGTACGCCGCCAACAACGTGCAGGTGGTTCCCAAGGACAAGAACCCTCCCAACACGCCAGAGCTCCGCCCAATTGAGAAATACTGGGCTATTGTCAAGCGGAACCTAAAGAAGACCAAAAAACTGCTAAGGGCGAGCAGCAGTTCAAGGCAAACTGGCTTTCTGCGGCGAAGAAGGTGGACAAGGTGGCTGTACAAAATCTGATGGCAGGGGTAAGCGTAAGGCCCGGCAATTCGGATTTGGAAAAGGGGAAGCCTAACTGAATATTTTCCCTGAATTTTATACTAATTGAATTTGAAAAAGAAATTTAATTTGATTTTTTAAATAAACGATTTCACCGATTTACACGCGTTTTCCCTTGACCAAATTTTGACCGTATCACCCTTTAATGGAGATTTGTGTTGTTGGATGCAGGAGGATATTGGAGGGTGGGTGTTTGACGCATAGAGCCTGTCAATTTCGCTTTCAGAGTGTCGCAGTCAGCGGTTTTATGATTCGTGAGCGCTCGCAATTCGTAGAATCGTTGATTGTAACTGCAAGTGGATTTGGCGGGTTTTGTGTGTCGGACGCTTGCTTTTTGGCCTCTTTTTGTGTCTAACATGTGCAGAGTTTCATTATAGTGTCTAATGGTTTTGAGATTCCTGGTTGCGTGAAATATATTTGTGAGAATATCTTTTTGAAATTTTAGTAGTCACGTTTTTTTTAGTTTATATTTTATTTCTTTCATGTAATTATCGTAAATAATAGTTATTCAATAATAGATATTTTATCCATATATTCGTACTTTGATGCGAAGCGCTCTGGATTATGAGATGCTCGATGACCCTGGAGGGATCGATTTTGCTTACTGAGCAGAAAATCATGGATTTAACCCCAAGCTCTTCCACAGCACAATAAATCGCCACCATCATTTGTATATTTGATATTGAACATTAATCTCGGAAACTATTTGCATATCAGGCGAAAATGTAGTCCTGTATTTTTGCGAAGCGTTATGGTTCTGAGATGCTCGATGACCCTGGAGGGATCGTTTTTGCTTACTGAACAGAAAATCATGGGTTTAATCCCAAGCTCTCCGTCATGACTCTTAAAATTCATGATCAATAAACAAAATGAATATGTTCTTTCGATAGCCGGCTATCGAGAGATTAAATAAACAGCAAATAAACAATACATACTTTTGGTTGCATCGCCAACTTGCGGTGAATCCTAACCGAATACCCTTCCCAACCCTCCAACTCCGTAGCACTTATGAGGGTGTCGCTAAGTCGGTGACCTCTCGGTAAGTAAGTACTACATCAACATTTCCTTCCCTATCCCTAGTTATGGTAAAGATGGGCGTGGCCGGGAATAGCGACAGTCATGCTTCTGTTACTCTTGTTTAGATTGGAACCAATGTTTACTCCCCAGCATTATTCCTGAAAGTAGTCTAACTGAGAATTCCAGAAGAGACGTGAGTGTCGCTAGTATCCAATCTACGAAGTATATCATAACAACGCTAACGCTAACGCTAACGCTAACGCTAACGCTAATAAGTATCAGTAAGGAAGTTGGCGAAAATGGAGGAAGTAAGTATCGGAAGATCGGTGAAGAAGTTACCTTCCACCACACATCGAATTCTGTAAACCGGGACCGGTGGACCGAAAAGTGGACCAGAAGATCATCAAGCTTTCGTCAAAAAGAAAGAAAAGTCTTAAAAAACTAAAATACATACATGCGTGACGGTCTTCGGCGACAGTGTCGTATGCAGGCATGGAAAATCATTTACATTCATTTCATGCAATCATTTACATTCATTTGCCTCTAACTTTTCTCATCAACAGCATTTAGCAAAATAATGTGTAGAACTTAAGTAGGTTTTGTTATTAGCTATAACTTTTGCCCAATAATCAAATCTGTATCACTTATGCATCACGAATTAGAGCGGGCAGAACTTGTTACTGTTTTTAGTGAATGTAAAATACATTCATTTAAAAACAGTAGTGGCTTCTGTTCACTCTGGCTCGTCATGCATAAGATATACAGATTTGAGTTGTTGACAAATGTTGTAGCTAATAACAAAACCTACAAAAGTTCCATACAGTATTTTGCGGAATTCTGTGGATGAAAAAAGTTAGGGGCAAATGAATGTTAATGAATGCACGAAATGAATGTAAATGATTTTCCATGCCTGGTCGTATGACAGAGCCTGTCATATGACATTTTAGTTTGGTACTATATTTTGAGAGCTTGTTTTGCAAGTGTCGGGTGGAAAGGCAGTCGATTATCACAGAAAAGCCGAAACGGAGAAGCCGAAACGGAGTCAGAAACAAGCCGTATCCAATACTACACAGTTCGTAATGGTCAGGAAGTTGACATACTGATAAGTCAATTCTTACCGAAAAATTTGGTGAAAAGTCCATGGTTTGGCAAGCGATTTGTGAGTGCGGCAAGTTGTACAAGCCATTTGTGACGTTGGCGACGATGAACACTGAAATTTACATTTGAATCTGCGTCTGCGGCCCATGATCCATCAACAATACTATTTTGGTCCGATTTTGTGTCAATGCACTACTCGAAAGACACGGTAGCTTGGTACAAAGCAAACCAAAAGAGATGAATCCTCTGAATTGTCCAGAGGCCCGGTCAATCGAAACTTTTTAGGCTTTTTCCAAGGAAAGCCTGCGGAAACACTTTAAGGCAGCGAATTCAATCGAAGAAATCGAAAAAAAAAACTGGATAAAAGTGTCCACAATTACCTCCCAGGAATCTGATTTGAAGCTCATGGGCAGCGAGCTAAAGAGAACATATATATATGAAATTCAAATTTGAGTTAATTAACATAACGTTGTTTTATTTCAATTTTTCAAAAAGCGTTTTTAAAGATCTTTAAAGAAAAAAGTAGATTTAGGAATTTATACATCATTGTTTCACCTTTAACGTATTTATAAATTTACAAAGATAATTCCCTGCCAACAAGTTTCGATTTTTTCGCTGAGGTATATCCAAATTCAAAACAGGCTGACCACGGTAGATGCAATTCGGAAAGTTATCGAGAGAAACAAGAAGTAGTCCAAACAGAAAAAGAGGGGTAAATGATATTGCTCTGTTATTCAGTCGCGCTAGCTGGGAAGCCATCACCGAAGCGTTGCACATGATGAAGGTCGCTGACTTTCTTTGCAGGATTCTGAGCTGTTGGTGGAAATGTTGGCGACCGAGGCGATCGATACAATTGGAAACTGGATGCTAGGAGCGAAGCTGCATATAGCCTACGACAAAATGGAAATGCTATTGGTCAATAACTGCAAAGCGAGGCAGCAGTAACAGTACTTTCAGACTTATGGTCTTGCAAGTCATTGAGTGCAACAAGAAAGATGAGGAAGAGGACCAAAGGAATACGGAAAATTGTGATACCGGAGTCGATGACCAAGTAGCAGCAGTAATAGGTCACGGTGGAGAACGGTAGATGAGCTCATAGGTAAATAACGAATCTTTCAACCGGGGTGAACAGAAATCATGGTGAGGAAAACTACCACCTGACGCAATTCCTATCTGGTTATGGTAGCTTCAGGCAATACCTAGATCGTTTCTGACACGCAACGTCAGCCCTCTGCCTGGAGTGTGTAAATGAGGAGGAAGCATCGGAGCACGTGATTTTGAATTGTTTTAAATTCGAAGCAATGCGAGGGGAGATGCCTGCCCCTAACGCGGCCTGCCCTAGTACTATAGATCATCATAACATCTAATGATTTCATAATTCCGCAAAAAAAAAATTATAGCGGAATGATTTCGGTATTGACCCGATTTTGTAAGCCTCGTTTTGGAGATCTTGTCTAATATTCTACGAAACCCATGCGCTGTTTTAGTGAAATGTGTGAAATTCAGTTGAATGTCCATCTTGAAGATGAATTAGAAAGATCCGAAATAACGGTTATATGAAATCATTGAAAGATACAAATCGGATGCGCGAATGGGCTAACAATTGGTATGCACTCAATTCTGTTTTAACGCGATTTTTTTCGCCTATAATTTAGGTGGTGTGATTTAAAATTACAGCCAAATTTAGTGCACCTTGAATCAAATAATCACAATAAAATCGAAGAAAAATATGGTGGTATTAAAAATGTTGAACGCATCCTACATTAGAACAAATAAGAAAAAAAATCGTAGATCACGTAAAAACAGAATTGAGTGTATATACAACATTGTTTTCAAGTGTTCTTGGAGCACATCCACAGTTGTAAGCTTTTTAGCACCAAAATTTCCAACCTGGAAAATATTCAAGACTGTACCGTGCACCGAACCTGTCACCTCCAACCTCCAATGGCTCTCTTGATACTCATAATACAAACAGCTAGTGCTAAATTAGAACACATCCAATCGAGTCTAAATTTATGACAGGAGATGATTTGGAATCGATGTTGCCGCTAGTAGATAATTTGAACCACCCTAAGTATAATTGAATGCGTAAAATGAGTCATATTTCTCACTTGTTTTTTTTTATCATCTAACTTGATTTATCTCAATGCAGCTAGTTTGTTTTTGCCATATTGCAAAGAAAGTGTCTTTATGACGTTTTTATGATAATCCTAAACAAACGTCGGCTCTTTTGCTCGTTGATACACATATACAAAATCTCGTTAGGTATCATGACGAGCTACAACGACTTGAGTCTCTTCCAAATTTCACTCATATCTAATACATTGAGTATGCACTGCATCGTGGGAATCGATTAATATCCGAGAACAATAAGTCTTTCTCTCACTGAAAATTAAGCGTCACGCCCCAACTAGCCCCGGCTCCGGATCTGGTCTGTTGCATCCGTTGGAAATCCCCATTCAATAAAAGATGAACGTTATTTGATACGATCTGCTATAAAATTTTGCATCTTAGCATTGTGTTAGAATGTTGTGAATATATGATTAGGTATAAAACTGGTGGAGTAATCTTTATAGAACATCATTCTAGTGTTAGCATTCTGAGCGTAAAAGACGGTCTCGGTTTGGGACGAATTTAACTTAAATTAAAAATGAAACCTTCAGTTCTGATAGCGTTGGTTGTATGCCTTGGCGTTGCAATTGCCACGGTAAGTTTGTTAAATTTTAGTTAAAACAAGTGCTTCACGAAGTTCTACTTGCTAGCCTCAACAACCGAACCTCGAAGACATCGGGAAGATTCGCAATGGAGAATCCTATGCCCTTGAATGTCTGCTATCGAGTGGCTTGGATATAAGTTCCCTGAAGTCGCTACAAACCGGAGACTTCTCAACCAGTGGAAACAGCGCCAAGGTGAGCGGAAGTAAAATGCTAATTAAAGCGATCTTAAATCAGGTTCAATCTTTATCAAATTCGAAATGTAGTGTCTGGTGAAATGTTTCTTCGAGAAGACCGGTTTCATGGATGCCGAAGGAAATTTGAACGAGGAAGCAATCGTAAAACAACTGAGTCTGTTTATGCCCAAAGATCAAGTTGACACACTGGTGAAGAACTGTAATTTGGAAGGCACCGACCCATGTGACACAGCATATCAGGCGACTGAGTGTTACTTCAAAAACAAGGCTGGATTGTTCTAATGGAATGGAAAATTACCTCGGGAAAAAAACCTAGCTAAAATGCTGTGAATCAAGGTAGAACGGATTATTGACTGAGTTAATTGTTGATCATAAATAATCAACCATTTCTGTGCTAGCCTTTTTGTGCAATGAATAAAGAGTGTGTTGTAAATAAAAATTATACATTTTTTTGAATGAGAAAACAAACAATTAAACAACGCGTGCACTAGCTGTGAAAAAATTCGTTCGTTATTCATTGAATCGTTTGCGTGTGTATAATTTAATTACCTATAACTTCCGTTTGTAAATAGTTGAGGGTGCTGGTTTCATATAAGTGGGATTTCAGCAGATGGTATCTCTGACATTCAAAGGAAACCATTTTAATAAATTATATAGGTTCCCTTATTCCCTTAGGTTGTTTTTTTTTAATAACCAGTGCCATTTGACAAATGATAACCATTTGGCCCAGTGACCAATATCTTATCTCAGTGAAAGGTTAAATGAAAACTATGACAAAATTATTGGATAAACGTTCATTAAAGTTATTTACCCATCTCCATGCTTTTAATTTTCCATTACACCCAACCAATTTTCACGCGGTCTTATTTTCTTATCTTCCGATATTCAGAGAAAAAAAAATCAAAGAAAAATAAGGTAGGGGAAATGGCTTTAGTGTTGGCCTATGGATCTAAGATTGCGCCCATCGCTAAAAATTTGCTATTTATCAATGTTATCTAGATGAACGCGTCATCGGGACGGTACTTAATGGATATTTTTAGTCGCTATTGAAAATTTAGTCGATTGCTGAATTTACCCTGCGGTATAAATTGCACCCTTCCTGGTGTTTCTGAATTTCCCTAGGTCAACCCTTTATACATTAGACTGGCCCACAAAAATAAAAGTTCTAATTTTCCACGGGCCAACCTCTAGATTTGTGCCTTTAGGTGAGACAACCATTTTCTGAAAGTTTTAGCTCATTAGGTAGTCGGATGAGCTGGCGCTTTTAGTTTGCATTTTGTATGGAGATTTTGAATTAAATACATGAAAAAATGACACCCCTACACTCTATCGATCATAAAAAGTTCCCTTATTATCGATTTGATTCAGATTTTCAAAACTTGTAGTTCAAACAATGAGTAACAACTTTCCTGAAGACTGCATTATGAATCCGGGTAGTTTCATTGAGATATTCGCTTTTGAATGTATATAAGCATTTTGAATATGAACATTTCAACCAATTCCCCTAAACAAACATCAAACCAAAAGCACCAGTCCTTGTTACTTCAAAAAACAGCTGAAACATTCAGAGAGTGGTTATCTCACTTACTGACACGAGTCTGGATGTTGGCCTGTGGAAAATCTGAACTTTTTTTATTTTTAAGTGGTAATCTAGGCATTACGTATCAACGTATCAATTGCATAAGCTACCTGCATTTGGTTGCAATATACAAAAATGAATATCTCCATAACACCAATTGAATCGTGATGCTGTCTTAACCTAAGTTGTTCCTTATAGCTTAAGCTATGTGTGCTTAAATTTTTGAGCTTAATCGAATTTGCTTAACCAGTTCTATGTTTGAAAGAGTGTAGGAATGTTATTTCTCCATTCATTTCAACCAATATCCCCATATACATTTGGAATTCAAAAGCGTCAGCTCGTGTTACATCCGAATGAGCTGAAATTTCTAGATAGTGGCCATTAGGTGAGGCACAAATCTGGGGCTTGGCCCGTTGAAAAAAATGATTGAAAAATCTTCCATTTATATGTGGGTCAATCTAATATACATGGAAGCAACATAGTAAATAATTAATCATGATGATTTAAATTGGTAATGGTAGCATAAGGCGAAACAAAGATAATTTTCAAAACCTATTTGTAAATGTAAATCTTCAAAATCTTTCCAACCTGAAGATATGAACAATTGTTGATTTATATATTCCTAAAACTAAACGTTGAAATCAGATCACAGTTTAAAAACAGTCTACTTTCTATCTCCCTCAGTGAGTATCTAAGCTCCTTCGACCACATTTCCCATGAACATTTACTAACGTAACTCGAAATCCTTTTCTAACTCGTTGTTCGCTTGAATATCTGGTTAGAAAGAGTTCTGGCACTGCAGGCTTTTATTTTAATTTATTTTATTTTTTAGTTCATGCTGTCTTTGTGCTGATGTGGAGTTTTTCGGTGCTCGAATTTGATTTATTTTGTGTCCCGGGCGCGATAATTTGATTTGGAAAGGTTTGTGTTGATGTTTTCTTCCCTGTTGCTTAGGTGCTTGGTGTGCTCTCGCTTCCCGTTGTTGCCGGTGTGACTCGACCGCACTGATCTATTGTTTGGTAGTGGAAAATTTCCCCATCAGATGGTGGTTGGCATGTGTGGGCGAGATGCCGGTTGCATCAGATTGGGGATCGGATAAGCGCTTTTTCGTAGCTTTTCTGTCTCCAGGTTTAAAAGATCATCGGTCGTAGAGGCTTATTCTTGTTTAAAAGGCAACGCCATCGAGTTTGGGTTTGAATAAATCCCAGATATGATAGGAGGCAAATAGTAACATTGCTTGTCGTGTGTTTTGTGAAACTTAACATCGTCATCAACGTCACCGTCAGGGCCGGTTTTTAATTAGTTGCAATAACAACGCGATCGTAGCTTAAATAATGTGATATGAGGAGCTTGGTGGCCTTAGAGCGACCATTTTTTTCTTACTGAGTAGAACATCGTGAGTTTAATCTAAAGGCCCCCCCCCCCCCTACATTCAAGGTTCGTTAGTAGCTTTATTTGATAATGTAAATGTATTACCCATCGATAATTAGTGTGTTGTAATAAAAGGAGCTCGTTTGCCTAGTGGCAAACGTTTTTGCTTACTGAGCAGAAGACCATGGTATAAATCCCAATCTCCTTCGCATTATATGATCGTTAGGACAACAATCCAGCTTATCGTTTACCAAAACGAGTCCGGCTGCAATCCTAACCCTCTTACCCAATATTCCAGTGGTTCCTCGTGGAAGTGCAGAGGTGTTCTCGGATTCCATCAAAGCGAGTGTCACGTCAACACCTTCCTACCCATTCCTTTCTTGACCTGAGTTCGGGCGCGGCTGGTGCTGCTATTGCCTAGTTTTAGATCACCAGATTTACACATTGAGAATGATTGCTAGTCCCAAGCATCGTCCATTGGTTCTCTGTGTAATTACAGCTGATCTGGCAATAATAAAGTAGCAACCGTGGCCGGTCAATCATGCGCATGCTCATTAGACTGATGCAAAATTTGAAATTTTCGCTCCACAGTGTTCAAACGGTTTCAAATTGGGTCCTGATTAGCCTCCGAAAGTTTAAACTTTTTCGATAAGAAACTGACTTGGCACAAACCATTTGAAGTTTATATGGAAATTACAAAACTTTTTGTCCATTGTCTTCTAGCCTTTTTACATATTGTACTGTTACCAAATTCTATTGCTATTCTTATGGGAATTTTTATCAGCTACAACTTTGCAGAAAATCGTTTTTCAGCCAAACGTCAAATTAAATAGTTATTAATTGTTTAAGAGATTGATAATCTTATGGCAAGTTTAAGCAACTGTATTATGGGCAACACTGTATTCTGCAGTCTGACATAGTAGCCATGATTTTTGTCCTCTATTTCACGCGTCATAAACACCAATGTTGCCTGCTGAACAGTTGATTGTGCATAATCATAAGACATCAGTGGTTTGAATCATTCTTAATTTTTGTTTCTTACATTTTATAGAAATTTGATCTTCAACAAAGTTATAGCTGAGTTGAAATTTTCAACAAGCTCAGCTATTATTTTGTAAAGTAGAGTAAACTGGTGAATTTTGAGATCGATTTGAACCGAAATTATGGTTTCTTCATAGTAATTCCCATATAAACTTCAAATGGTTTGTGCCAAGTCAGTTTCTCACTAAATGAGTTCAAATTCTAGGAGGCTAATCAGGGTCCAATTTGGAACCGTTCGAGCACTGTGGAGCGAAAATTTCAAATTTTGCCTCAGTCTAATGCTCATACTCAGTCTCATTTTTTTCTCTCATTATCATATTTACTTACGCTTCATTTAGCACTGCAAGGATGCTGATTGTGATATATTAATATGTAAGCGTAAGTCCATGTGCAGGAACCTCGCAATGCCATATATCTCGAGAACTAGTAAAGATAACGTAAAATGGATAGCTTTTTGTCAATAACTCAAATCTGTATGTTTTATGCATGACCAACTAGAGAGGGCAGAACGTGTTATTGTTTTTTCAGTGAACGTAATTTACATTCACTAAAAAAACATTGATGGGTTCTATTCGCTCTGGTTCGTTATGCATAAGAGATACAGATTTGAGTCAGTGTCAAAAGTTGTAGCTTATATCAAAACCTACAAAAGCATATACATCATTTTACGGAATTCTATTGATGAAAAAAGTAAGTGCCAAATGAATGTTAATGATTGTCCATGCCTGGTAATGGATAAGACTAGAATATGTAATGCATTTTATGAATATTTTATAAACACACCATGTAAGCTTCAAAGAGCACTTCTAAGAGATTGTAATACCCAACAACAAGTATGCACTTTAAATAGAAGCTTTTCTTGATCGATCGTGATACTGCCGGCCTCGGTCAATGAAATAAAGAACTATGTACGAGAAATGAAAAGTTCATTTTCTGCTGGTACAGATTTTATGCCTGCCAATTTTTTTAAACATAGTTCTACTACAATTCTTCCAATGTTTTCTACTTTGTTCAACCGCTCAGTGATATAAGGAGTATTTCCAGAATAATTAAAAAAAAAACCATCTACAAAAAAGGCATGAAATCATGTGTTGAAAATTATAGACCAATTCAAATTCTTTCTTCGTTCGAGGAAATTATTCATACTAGGCTGCTTGATTTTTTAGCAGTAATTTGATTAAAAAATCAATCCGGATTTCTGCCACGCTGAAAACATGACTAGTGCTTTTGTTAGTCTGATTAATAGTATTCAGATGAATATAGATCAGAAGATAATATGCTCGGCAGTTTTTGTAGATGTCTCTAAAGCATTTGACTGTGTCCCGCATGATATGCTACTACTCAAATTTTAAGATACGGGATCAGAGGAAATGCTCATAGTTTGATTCAATCTTACTTGAAGGATAGGAAACAAATAGTTCAATTAGATGGTCTCAGAAGTTGTGAACATAGGATTCTTTATGATCTCAAGGTTCAATATTAAGACCACTATTTTTACGACATTTTTAAGCTCCCTCTGCAAGGTACACTAAAAATGTACGCAGATGAATCTGTACTTGTCTAGAGTGCTAAAAATGTAGAACAATGATTTGATAATATGCAGCATGATCTAAATCTCATAAATAGTTAGTTTTTTTTTAAACGGTTTAACCCTTAATTCAACACAATTAAAGTATTTGATGCTTTCGCGCAATGACAATTAAATGCCATAAACCATCTTTATTTGAGAAGAAACCATTTGGAAACAGTTGAAACTCATGCATATTTAGGATTATTGATTCAACAAAATCTAAAATCAGGGTTACTTCCACTCACTTCGCTA